CAACCTTCCTTCCGAGGAGTGGCTGGTGGGTTTGAACCGCCAGCCTTCTGGTTAGCAGTCAAGTGCCTTAGCCACTATGCTACCAGAGCTCGCGGGGACAGACACTAGCATCCTTGATATATTTTTCCATTTTCTTATTAATCAATGTGTCTATTAGACAGTGTAGTTGAGTAGTAAAATTGGATCCCACCACCACATATGATTTACCTGGTGCAGGCTATGATGTAACCAACATTTTGTTTAGTCTTACATTCAGTCCATGTTCTGTGCCAAGTATACAAAGTAGTACGTATTATATCTTTATTGTGCACTTCAAGAGCAGTTATGTACATATAACACATGTTTTGGATAACTCTAATACTGTGATATTTTGAATGTGTTCTCAGGATAGGAAGTACAGTGTCTCCCAGTAGTCATTCCTTGGTCTTATACTGTAATTTGAGCATGGGTGTGGCAATATACACCAGTTTAAGTCTGAACCTAGTGTATAACCTTGGAATATCCACTATCATGCATGGAGTGACATCAACATTGCATTTCTGTACAGTGCTTCCCAGTCATCCTAACCAAAAAAACCAAACTCACTGCTGTTGAGTCAATTTTGACTCATAGAGACCCCTCCTTGGGTTTCCCCAGTAGTGTCTCTATGGAAGTAGATTGCCCAGTCTTCCTTCCAAGGAGGCTGGTGGGTTTGAACTGCCAGCCTTCTGGTTAGCAGTAAAATGCCTTAGGCACTATGCCACCAGAGCTCCCTGTAATCCTATTATCCCCATTTTATAGATGAGGAAACTAGCCTAGACCAGTTAAATAATCTTATTGAAACTCACATAGTTTAGTAATTTACCAAAGCAAAGATTCAAGTGCAGATTGCCTCCAGAGCCCTAACTAGTTGCTGTCCAGTCAACATTGACTATGACAACACCATGTGTGTTGGAAGTGAGGACAAAATTAAGAAAGCTGTCAGTTATTAATCAAATCGTGGACATATTGGGCCCATTGTCACAGGGATTGTTTAACTTTTTGGGATCGATGTTACAGGTTGTGTGTCAGAGTTCTATTTTTATATATGGTCTGGCCACTGTCCATTTGTTCTGTCTCTACTTTCCCATTTTGGTCTTCTCTCCCTTGCTCACTCACTGCCATCAAGTTGGATCTGACTCATAATGACCCCTCCTTGGGTTTCTGAGGTGGTATCACTATGGAAGTGGATTGCCCAACCTTCCTTCTGAGTTGTGGCTGGGGGATTTGAACTGCCAGCCTTCTGGTTAGCAGTCAAATGCCTTAGGCACTATGCCACCAGAGCTCCCAAGGCTCTCTTAGCAGTGATATTTTCTCAGAATTTGCTTGTTTTTGATAATCTTGACAGTTTTGAGTACTTGTCAGGTGTTTTTGTAGCCAGTGTATTTTTAAAATTTTCATCTCATAAGAGATTGGACATCTTTTCGGATACACAAGGACATATATATTTCCATTTATGGAAACTAAGTGCTAATGCTCTTAACCGCTAAGCTATAGCTCTCTCTTGACTCTCCATAATTAACAATACATGGGCCTGAACACATTAGGGATTTCTGATCCTGAATTGAAAAAAAAACTGAGAAGCCTCTGTTAGAGTGAAAGGAGAAGTATTAGTGGAAGTATTGTGGTCAGACTTGTATCTGATCACTTAGGCTATACTGCAGAAGATGGACTAGCGTGGCTGGAGGGCCAGATAAATAGAAACAAATTTGAGGTAGAGAGAAGCCAGGATTTAGGAATACTGGATAAGAGACACAAGAAGTCGAACGTGACTCCTAGGTTTGTGAGCTGGTTATCCTAGATACTGCGTTTAACCCATAGGTGAAATTCAAGAGAAAAAAAAATTGAACAATTTACAACACTGGTTACTCAATGCCTAGTTTCTGTTTCTTTCGCTCTGCAATACTACAACTCCCAAAGTCCCATGCTTCACCATAATTCCCTTAGAGGCAGCCGCGCAGAGTTCTGGGACTAGTAGTCCGGGGCCTTTTTACCCAAGTTAGAGATAGGGGCCTGTGGAAACATGAAGAGGTAAGGGCTTGTCTGAGGACCAGGCGACGAGGGGAGTTCTGTTCTACCTCTTTACTTTTAAAATGGGTTTTATTCCTTTCTATTTTGGATGTGGCACGTTCTCAGGGTGCGGTTTCATCAGAGCGGTTAGACGAAAGAGGGAGGAGGAGGGGAGACGGGTGAGACAGGCCTTGTAGCGCGAAGTTCAGGAAGGGCCAAAGGGGTTCTGGTTTACATAGGAATACCCTTCCCGGCACAAGCAGTTATGCCAAATCACTGGCCTTAGGAGTGTATGAATGCTGTGTCACCTTCTTTTCCTGACCGATCACCTGGGCAAAAGGGTCTTAGCTGACCGGTACCCAGGCCAGCCCCCGCTCGCCCCCGTCCCGCCCTACCTCCTCCCCATCCTCCGAAAGGTGCTCATTGTGGTGCTCATTGTAGTGTTTGTGTTGTTAAGGGGAACTCACTCGGTCTCGAAAGCATATACTAATGTGACATCTTTTAAAAAGTGGTAATTTGTTTCTACAAATGTAGAAGGTAAACACAGTATGTATTTGAGATGTTAACTGAAAAACAAAAGCACTGCTGCAAGCAGTTCCCCCTACTGGTTCTGAAGTGTATGGCAACTTTAACAGAGACGGTCAGTGTTGAGAGCCTGAGCCTCACAATTACTGACCTTACACACACAGCCTTTTTAAAGGATCCTCATTAAATTAAATTAGCTTTGTACTCATTCTGCAAGTAAAATAATCACACTGGAATAGTGCAGCGCATTTAAAGAGAGATATGCGCTGCTGCTGTCCGTTGTTCGCATCTTTTTAAAAACTCTGTTTCAGATTTTCCCTGCCTGAAAATAACCTTCTGAAAAAATTCTAATTTATTTATTTATTAGAAAATGTATAATATCTCATACATGCAGAATAATGTACATAATGTATATGTACAGTTTAAAAATGATAATAAACATTCATATCCACTGTAAGCTTAAGAAATAGAAGCCCCTTGTGTGGCCCTCCCTGATTGCTTCTTCTCCCTCCCTTCCCCCTTAGGTGGAACCACTGTCCTGAATTTTGCGTTTATTCTTCCCTTGCTTTGTAAAAAAAAAAAAAGATTAATATGTTAATTTATCCCTAAACATAATGTTATTAGTTTTGTCCATTTTCAACTTCATATAAATGGATTCGTATGAATTTTTCTGTGACTTGCATTTCTCGTTCAACATTTCTTTTTGACATTCTTCTTTTTGAGATTGCTGTATTAAATATGATTTATTCATGTGAAAGCCACTTTAAACTTAGCAAGAACTTGCTAAATAGTAAATAAAAATTAAGATACTGAAAAGGAATTTTTAAAACCCTGGGCCTAAGGATATTTTTAAATTTCCCCAGATAGATCCAAGATTTGTAGAGCATGGGAATCTTGCTTATCATTGTAGGGGACACTTTTCAAGCCTTCATCATATCCTTAGTAGTAAAAAGCTATTTTAAAAGGTATGTAATATTTGTTTTTCCTGTGGAATGAACCCATTTTTTTGTTTTTTAATTATTTGTTGCTGGACTTTCAAAAGATCCTGCTATTTCTTTATACTCTAATAAGAGTTTTCACTTATTTGTTGTTGTTGTTGTTATGTGCCGTCAAGTCGGACCCCTCCTTGGGTTTCTGAGGCAGTATCACTACGGAAGTAGATTGCCCAACCTTCGTTCCAAGGAGTGCTTGGTGGGTTAGAACTTCCAGCCTTCTGGTTAGCAGTTAAGTGCCTTAGGCACTACACTACCAGAGCTCCTATTTAGGGGAAGTTAACTTCTGTTGGCATTACCTAGATTTTTGTGCAGGAGCTCTGGTGGTGTAGTGCCTAAGGCATTTGACTGCTAACCAAAAGGCTGGCGGTTCAAACCCACAAGCCACTCCTTGGAAGTAAGATTGGACAATCTGCTTCCGTAGTGTAGTGATACCGCCTCAGAAACCCAAGGAAGGGTCGCTTTGAGTCGGATCTGACTCAGCAGTGAGTTTGGATTTTTTGAGTTAGTACCTATGCTATAACATTTTATGACCCTCTTCATATTTCTTTCTATACTCTCTCCTTCAGAGATCTCATCTGCTCTCACAGCTCTAGATCCTGTCAACACAGATGACCTTTAGGTTTCCATGTTCAGTCTCAGACTTTCATCTCAGCAACAATGCTCCCATCTCTCAGCTTCCTTTTAGTGAATACCACTTGTGCTTTCACCTCAGATGTAATAAGTCTTTGACATGTTCTCATACTTCATGCCAGCGTTTTAGTTGTAATAGGGAGTTGACTCAACATGGCTAGAATGACACTGACTTTTCCCAGCCCATCTAGAGCTTCCTCTTTCCATCACTGATACCACTGTTCTCTCAGGTACCCCTACCTTCAAAAAGCCCCTGTCATCTAACCCTTCCTTTTGCATTTCCACTATTAGCACTCTATTCTGGACCTTCATCACCTTATACCTCATAAACTTCAATAGTTTTTTAATGAGTTCTTTTGGTTTCTTCCTTTTTCATCCATATAGCATATTACAACCACATTCATCTTCTTAAACCATCATTTGCACTGTGTCACTTAACTTCAAAATAAATTACTTTCTAGTACCTATCAATTAAGGTATTAGCCCTTAGTGGATGTATTTAAGGGCGTTCACAATCAAGAGTCTCATCCCTCCAAGATTATCTCCCAGTCCTCCCATCCATGATCGCCAGCTAAATTGAACTGCTCATTATCCTCCAGTACATATTTCTGTTTCTTCAGACTTGCTCTCCCTATTCTCCTTTTCTTTATCACCCCTAATCCTTCAAATGCCAGTTTAAGAATTACGTTTCTGAAGTCTTTACCACCCCAGTCCCCAATTATCTCTTTCTGCTGTGAACTCCTACTAATCTGGCATTAGCTTTTTTGTATTGTTAGTGTGTCTGTCCATCTGTCTGTCTCTCTCTCTCTCAGTGCATGTATGTGTGGCTATGTAAGCTTCTTAAGAATAGGGACTATGTTCAAAACTTCTCTGTCTTCCATCATAACCTATGCCTTCTATGTAGTAGAGTTTTTTGTTTTGTTTCTTTTTCAAAAACAGCTTTATTGAGGTATAATTCACATACTGGCTTCTTTCAGTTAGAATAATGTTTTTATTCATGGAGCTCTGGTGGCATAGTGCCTAAGGCATTTGACTGCTAACCAGAGGCTGGCAGTTCAAACCCACCAGCTACTCCGTGGAAGGAAGATGGGGCAATCTACTTCTGTAGAGATACCGCCTCAGACACCCAAGGAGGGGTCACTATGAGTCGGATCTGACTCGACGGCAGTGAGTTTTGTTTTGTTTTTTTATTTGATAGTGGGTATTAGTAAATGCTCATGGAATGAATGATAAAGGGTAACATATTGTTAGAGAAGTATCTCTGAATGAATATGGTCACTAGTTATAGAGCATATGTTGTTGTTGTTATGTGCCGTCGAATCGGACCCGAATCATAGCAACCCCTCCTTGGGTTTCTGAGGCAGTATCACTACGGAAGTAGATTGCCCCATCTTCCTTCCAAGGAGTGGCTGGTGGGTTTGAACCGCCCACCTTCTGGTTAGCAGTCAAGTGCCTTAGGCACTAC